GTGCCGGTGAACGCTCTGTGCACGTACCGGCACTAAAAGGGTCCCTCGACTGTATGTAGTTGTAGATCTGTATCCCTGGCCGAGAGCCGGCGTTCGGTAAAGAGAAGCTCGTCCTTCTGCCTCGTACACTCGTTCTAGGAAAATGTTGATGTCTCTCGTTCTCTCGTGCGCTCTCTCCACAATCCATTTTTTCCCTTTTCGGCTGTGTCTCTCTCTCTGTGTCTCTCGTGCTTGCGAAACATCGCAGAAGGGGTTCGCGCAGCCGGCGACGACGTGGAAATGCCGGAAGCGGCAGGAGCTTCGGGTCCTTTAGGTGTGCGCAGGAGCAGGAACTAAGGACTAAGGACGTGCATTTTTGTTTCGTTGTTTGTATGGCACTTGTGGTGTGGTGGGGGGTGGAATAATCAATCGTATCTTTTTGTCTGCAGGCCCCATATTGTACGGTGTACACCGCACCCCCTTGACGGTTCTTCAATTGCTCGATTGAAGAACAACCAATATGGTCCCTATGGTACAAAATGGTACTATGGTACCCGTGCCGAACAGTACGTTTTCCGAAACCTCTCGGCAATATATGCTTCCCTGCAAGTAATGTGTCTGTTATTTAAACAAGTGCCTACACACCACTCTTGTCTGATTGACTGCGACACAGGCAGCGGATCCTCGTCATCTCCCCCACTCCTGGCGCCTGGAGCAAGCACAAACCCTGGCCCACCACGTCCGCCCATCGTTTGTTTATCCCCCGGTATGACCATTATCATACAGCCGTCGCGGATTATCAGGCAGGACACGTGTTCGAAGTGGCCGACGGAGCCGACAGCAAGACGACTTGAGAAGCGATCGAGGCTCAGCTCCAAGCGCATTTCGGCTCCAACGGTTACGTGGTCATGAGGAGGAACAGCATGAGGGTGAGGAGGCCCCGATTTCGTATTCGTATAGGTCGCGATGTGTGTGGAGAACAGTAAGGGGTTAGGTTGTGAAGGGCAAGGTGTGCCTGCTGTTTGCTGTTTATTCCGCTGTTCCGTTATTGACCAAATCGGTCCGCTGACTTTCTGAACATGTGGCACTCCGCTTGACAGGGATAGGGTGCGGCAACATTAGGCGCTTAGGGGCAAGGGTTAGGCGGTGGTGTGTCAAGCGCATGCACTGTATTTAAGTGCCGCGGAGGTCTGCCTCTTGTTGCTACTTAGACCGTGTGAACACTTTAGGCGCACGTGTGCACAACACACACCAAACAAAGTAAACAAACCACACAGGGTTAGGAGTTCTTGCCTTTCCCCTGCCCCATCCACGGACATAACGACATTCACGTATGAACCCGTGCGCTGACGCACATGCCTCTTCCTCTTCTCACAACCCACGTGTGTGTCTGCCTTTCGCTGTGCATATCCGCAGAGTGTCACCCAGGGGCAACAACGACAAGGTTCTGATGAAGCACCCTACCTGGAGCAGCGGGGTTCTGGGGACTATGCTCAAGTTCTTTGAGCCAATTGGGCAGGCGCTCAAGCAACTCGGAGCAAGCAACTACGCCTTGGATGTGAGATGCCTTTGTGCTGTATCGTGGTGGATTTTCTTTCTAGGGAGTGTGGCGGTGTAGTTTGGATTATTGCTGTGGAAATAGCTGAACGGATCCCCCCCCCCCCCCCC